TGGGGCACATCTCCCACCTCGGCCCTCCTCTAACCTTGACTTAACCCTCTGGGTAACATCCAGGAAATTCCCGATTCTTGGAGGCTTGGACACGCGGGCAAAACCAACCCAATCACCACAGAGGTCTTTTGGGGAGAAACCAGCCCGAATTTGCACTGCGGGTCTGGTTCACCGGAGTGTTTTTCCCCCTCACAACTCTTCCCCTTGCAGCATCGGGCTGTCCCCGGTGGCACCGAACCGCTCCCTGGTCTGGCTGGACCGGGAACGTCCTCCTCGAAGCGGCCGTGGTGGCGATGAGATGCTGGCGTGAGTAGCTCCGCTTGGTGGCACGGGGACAAGCAAGGGCCCATCCCGAGAGGGAGCGTCCAACGAGCAGGGAGGGTGTCCCTGCTGCTGGGTGCTGGCCCGGGGCGCTTGCGTGGGAGGCAAATCTGCTTTTGCGATCGGCGTGGGCTGACGCACATCTCGGCGTGAGGCGTGGGGATGTGGGTTTGTATCAGGGTCTCTTAGAGCTGGTGGGTGGCGGAGACCTGACTGGTTTGGTTGGCCAGTGGGGGGAAACCACTGGAAACTTCTCAGCTGTGGCAGGGTCAGGGTTTGACGCCCACGGCTGAGCTCAGGGGCACACGGAGCCCTGCTGAAAGGAGTCCAGTGTCCGGTGCGATGTTGCTGGTGGCATCTGAGGCCCCTCTGGGCTGCACAGCTGAGGCTGGCACAGCCTGTCTGCAGGAGACGCCGATTCCGGAGCGGTCAGAGGCGACGGGGCTTTCCGCAACCCTCCGGTTTCATGTCTCCGTATCTCGTGTGCGCCGATCTCGTGCAGGGGGGGGGGGGGCCACATCCTGCTGCCAGTGCAAAGCAGCAGTGGGGTGGCGGCGGTTCCAAGTGGGGGGTGAGCTCAGAGGAGGCGGCCCCGTACCCCAGCAGAAGGTGATCTGGGATCTGCTCTGACTTGGGACCCCAAAGCCAATTCTCACCCCCCGTGAGATGTTCAGACCAAGGCTTCGGGTGAGCTGAGCTACCAGGAAGGATGCGGGGAGGGCTGGAGGGCTCAGTGTATCCAGGACCAGGATCCATCCTGACCCTTCTCTGCGGCCCGCTGGGACCACAGGCGGGTAGATCTCGGTGGGCATCACGCCTGGGGGAGCCCATCCCTCTCCCCTGCTCTGTCCTTCCCTTGCAGTTCTCCCCCACCAGTCGGGCAGCAAAAACGGGAGCGGGAACGTAGGTGATGGCAACACCACCCTGGAGAAGGTCTGCTCGGAGCTGAGGAAAGGGCTCTGCTCGTCAAAGCTGCAAGGTAACTGCTCCGGCCATGACGCACCTCTGCAAATTCAGCTTTCCCGAAAACTTGGGGCACCCCCAAACTGGAGAACCAAGCGAAGCTCAGGGCATCCCCGTGCTCCTGGGGAGCAAACAGGACTGAAACCCTTGTCCTTCTTTGGCTGTGCAGGGGCCACGGTGGCTTCTCGGCGGCTGAACACGGCCCTGGCTGTCTTTCAGAGGGGGTGGGGGGCAAGTTCTGCCCCAGGGGCTGGACGCTGCACAGGACCGAGTGCTATTGGGTGGCCAACGGGACCAACCCTTGGAGCAAGAGCCGGAGGGACTGTGTCATTCGGGGTGCCGAGCTGCTGATGCCGGGGGACCAGGATGAGCTGGTAAAGGGACCGATGCCGCCGGGGACGCGGGACGGGTCCCAGGACTGCACCCGCGGGGCTGGTGGCACCTGGGGAAGGGTTAAGGGTTTGCCCAGGGATCTGGGATCAGCACCCAGCCCTGTGCCCAAGCATCCGGGGTGGCTCCGCCAGCGTCAGAGTGTGGGGGACACCGGCGGGGCTCCGTCCTGGGACGGAGCCTGTTTTGGGATGGTGACCCGTGGCACGTCGGCGTCACCACCTGCTCTCTCTCCCCTGACACGGGATTCCATAAAAAAATCCCTACAGAAACCCCCCCGCTGCTTCTGGATCGGCCTCTCCATCCCGTGCGAAGGGAAGGGCTGGACCTGGCTGAACGGCTCCCGCCCGGACCAGCACCAGTGAGCGCTTCGGGGTGGGATGGGTGGGCACGGTGGGCACCTCCGCCGTCACCCCAGGGACCCTCGTGGGGTGACACGAGCTCCCTCCTGCGCCCGCAGGTTCCAGATGAGCCGTTGGGAAGAAGGCAAAACCTGTGGGGTGCTGAAGGACGAGATCGAACCTGAGAGCTGCAGCGTGGAACAGCGGTGGATCTGCCAGAAAGAAGCCACCCAGCTCTGAGCGGGGGGCCACAAGCCGGGCTGGGGACGGGCCAGGATCAGCCCCTCAGCGGGGGGAACCTGGGAGCCGGTGCCGACATCGTTGTGCAACAACGACCCGGCGCAAACCAGTAACGACTTCAGCTGGGCTCTGCTGTGGGGTCTTGCCACCAGTTTGCTGATGGGGAGGGCGGGGAGGAGCGTCCTTCTGTGCCAGGCACATCGGCTTGTGTGCGCACGCCCCTGGGGCGCGTGGGCACACCCTCGTGCCCGCTGTGCCTGTCCCTTTCTGCCCACCAGCGCTTGCCCCTGGGCCTGCCTCCCCCTTCCACGGCTCCAGGATACACCAAGGCCCCATCCAAGCCCCTCTGGGATTTCTGCCCACCCCAGGGACCCCCTCCATCGTCCTCCTGGGCCATCCTCAGGTCGTGCTTTCGCCCCAGGCACGGCAAAGCTAACTCGGGAGGTGGCTCAGGCCAGGGAGGGACGGGCGGGCGGCAGAGGAGACGGGTGCTCGTGGCACGGTGCTCGCAGCAACGTTGCGCCGGCAGAGAGGAAGCGCCGCCGTGAGAGCGTTGGGGTTAGAAAGGCAGAAAAGAGGTGGGAGGGTTAAAAAGAAATCCAAAACTAAACCCCGAGCAAGTGGGCTCGCCGTGAGGCTGTGCCTGGTCCAGAGCCCGAGGAGGGCCAACACCCCAAACCAGTTTTGCTGAGCACAGACGGGGGACAGGGGGCACGGGACATGGGGACGACGGCAAGTTTCAGCCACAGCTGCCACCACAGGGGTGATGGGGAAGAGATAAGCGCCTCCCCCTACAGCACAAACCTCCAAAAATAGGGTTTCCCCGGCTCGGTGTGAGCTGCGGCAGGACTGCCCTGTGGTATTGTGCCGTCTC